TCAATTCGCAATGACAAATTAAGAACTGGTTCGGAAGACGGAGTACAGATACAACCCACATACTACACTCCATTCCGGTGTTATTTAATATGTAAAGTGGACCAAAGTGGACAAGTCTCATGAGGACTAGACGAGAAGTGAGAGGCGAAGTGAGCGCTTAACCGAAGCGAACAATTAAAAAAAGAGCAAATATTTTAGTTTAATTACTTCTAAATATCCAAGTTCCAACTTTACAAATACTCAATATTTTAATGCAATCAAAACCGTAAACATTTAAATTTTAAAAAACCATCATTTATGGCAGTATTCTGCAAATTTACACCTCTACCAAAAAAAAAGTTTGGTTATTAGTACTCAATCATCACAGATGAAATCATTTCCGTGACAAATAGGCAGTAACAACAAAAATTATATGGTTTTCTACTAAATCAGTCATTTTCGCGGGAAGCAATTGAACTAAGCATAATAAAGTAATAGAATTAAACCAGAGCAGTCTAGAAATAAAAACAACAGAATCAGTCTAAGGTAGCGTTTGGTAACGTTTTTATTTTTATGTTTTTTTTTTATAAAAAAAATAAAACTAAGTTTTGTTTTTTTTTTTGTAATAAAAATTAAAAATATAAAACATGTTTGATAGTGATTTATATTTAAAAATTTATAAAACAAAAATAAAAAACTTTTTTGGTATTCTACCAAAAATTTACCACCCAAACCCCATTGACCACCCAAAACCACCACCCAACCCCACCACCAAAACCTACCCCCGACCCCACCACTGAAACCCACCACCACAACCACCGAAACCCACCCTCAGCCCACCCCCACCCCCCCCACCACCGAAATCCCACCACTGAAACCCATCATCACAACCACCTAAATTCACCACCACAACCACCAAAATCCACCATTAACAGCCACCGAAATCCACAATTAGGATTATATATGCATATATATACATAGATCTCATAGATCTATGTATATAACAAACACAAACTTTAAAAAACAAATTTCACAGAGGGGTTAGAGAGAGAAAGAGAAAGAGATCGATGGAGATGGAGATGGAAAGACTGGAGCTTCCTTTGCCGTAGCTTCTTTCGCTTGGAGCTTTCCTTTGTTGGAGCTTCGCAAGAGAGACGATTGAATGAGGGAAACACGGGGGACAGACAATAAGAGAAGCAAAAAAAAGTTAAAAAAAGGTCCTTTTATACTTGGAACAATAAGAATATCTTTTATGCTGTTAATGGGGTTCAAAGACAAGACCTCATTAATTGAGGCTTGAGGGACGCGCGTGTTTTCATTTTTGCCTTGTTTTTGAAAGCATCTAAATAGGTGTTTTAAAAAAAAAGTATAAACATAAAATGGAATAAAAGAGAGGAAGCAGAATCAACATCAACATCAAAGCAACACAACGAAAAAAAGAAAAAACAGAAATAGAGTAGAAGAGGAGAAGCAGAATTAGAATCATAGGAACACAAGAAAAGAAAAACAAAAACAGAGTAGAAGAAAAGGAGATGGTTCTAGCACAACCAGAAAATTAGAAGAAGATGAGAAGAATTAGAAGAGGAAGAGGAAGAGGAAGAGGAAGACGAAGAGGAGGAGGAGGAGGAGGAGGAGAAGAAGAGGACATAGACATACCTTTGGCGTCTGTCTTAGCCTAATGCAGGGCTAGAGCAGCATGTTGTAGTGGGCTTTCTTGGTGAGTGTCGCAAGTCGGTCAGTCAGAGAAGAAGAGGAGGAAAAGAGATATACCTTCTTGTGAGTGGCGTAAGAAGAGGAGAAGAGGTTTCCTGCTATTTGTTGGCTCAAATAAATGTGGTGATTAGGGTTAGTTTACATATATATAAATGAGGCTCAATTGGCTAAAGTTGACATATCTAATTTTTGATCCAATTGCATCAATCCAACGACGTGTAATAGTTTAAGATATAAAATTAAAAAGAGTACTAAAGTGATGCTTATTCACTTTTTTCACCTTTACTTGCTTTTCTCTCGTCTTGTCCACGTTCGCTTTGCCAGTCATGTTCAAGGCGACATAGGGTCGTCTCGCATTGCTTTTCACAACACTGGTCCACCCCATGAGTTAATCACCTGCCTGTATAGGACCATACTCTTATTTTCCTTAAAGGAACCACCGGTCGTTGGTAATTGCTCATATTGGTTGAGTTGAGAAATTTTGTATTAGCTTATTAATTAATTGCACAGATTGGAATTTGTGAAAATGTAAATTTGGCAGCTGATATTATGATGAAATTTGTCAAATTTATGATTCTAGAAATTTTTTTTTGGGGTCAAATATGAATTTGTAAATTGGATAGTTCATTTTTTGTACATAGAGATTCTTTTAATTTTTTTATGTCCCAACATGTGTATATTTCATCTGCAGTTACTTGATAGGTCCAGGCTGAAAATGAGTGTTTGGATTTTTGTAACTTTACATTTCATTGTTTCTCTGCAATGTATAAGTTGCATTGATATTTACTGATATACATCTACATGCATATGCGATATATGTGTGCATGTGTACTTGGCGGCCTTATGGTGGATGGTTAGAGAGATTGTAAAGAGAAAGTGTTGCAAATAAAATTGAACAACAAATGAAGGGGATTTTAGAAATTTTACACATACTCTTAAGTTGTTAGTCATCAGTTATGGGGGTTTAGTATCACAAGTGAAAGTTGAGAAGGGAAATGTGGAACCAGCCCAAATTACAAAGAATTATGTCTAACTAACCCTCTCTTTGTACTTAAATAATACAATAATCATTTTATATTTGCAATTATTTATCTACATTTTTTTTGGACAATTAGGTAAGATATGGGATGTGGTTGGTTCAACTGTGGGTTCACATGTTAAAAAAAAAGGAAAAAATTTAATGTTGAAGAGATGACTTTTGTACAAAGGATATCTCTACTATTTTTATGCCTATTTTCTTGCTTGTTATCAAATACTGCGAAATGCCAAATATAATCTTAATTGAAGATAGTCACTCACTAGTCAAAAAGATTTAAAATAAATAAAAATAAATTGAGTATGCAGAATGTAATTTTAGTATAACTCGAAATTCAAATCGAGAAGGGTTATACAAATTGAAGAATAAGAGATATTAAAGAGTAAATAATTAAAATAGTTGCATTTAATATCCCCAAGAAGGAGATATTGCAGATGATTTTGATCATAGAATTAAAAAAATGCTAGACTAAGCGAATGAATGGATCGAATGTATAATGTCAATGTATACTTCTTATATTGAATTGTAGTTCTCATTAGGCTAACGATGTTTTTTGGTGCAGAGTGTTGGGCAGTTAAAAACAACTATGCTCAATGTATAAATGTAGCGGAAATGATAATGTTTAATTGGATGCACGGTAAAACAAGAAATTACAAAATTATGAATGAATATATTAGGGAACTAGGGGGAATAGCAATGACAAAAGATAAATTAAGAGGGAATTGTTTTAGATGGTTTGGACATGTTTATAAATACATATAAATGTTGCGGTGAGGAACAGTGATGTGATCCCTATCAAAGGTAATATGTAGGGTGTAGGTAAACCAAAACTAACAGTATCATATCGTAGAAAGACATGATAGCTTGTGGTTAAGAAAAAATATGGCCCTTGATAAAGCATGGCAAGATTCACATGGTGGACCCCATAATAACTGTGACAAGGATCATTTGAGTCGTGTTATCCGCCCAAATCTTGGTTACCAATAATTGTGCTAAGCATTATTTAGAATAATCAAAATAAAAAATGGGCACCAATTGCTTATGTATTATGTATGTATGCAATGTGTACCAAAAATCCAATTTTTGTGCTTACATGTGTGTAGTTCTGTTGATTTTTTTGTCCATAACATTGCTCTTGATTGAAGTATGAAAAATTAAATTTTAAGAAACAGTAATCAGCGCGGTGGTCTTTGCAATGCCCTTCTTGAAGTGCATGATTCTCTTTTGGTTCATCATTTAATGATATATAGAGGGGTTACGGTGTTGCTTTAAGGTTTAGCCTGTTTTTCCTTACTGTTTAGCTAATTTTAGGTTCTCGAATTCTGATAGTATTGGTCAATTGAATCAATTAGTAGCATAATGTTGATTATGATTTTTAACTGTCCATTTATGGTAAGGAGATACGTTGCTTCTCATATTGTTGAGAACTTGACTCAGTTTCCTTTTTTTTGCTTGCTGATGGTGCCTCCTCACTTATGATGTTTAGTGCAGGGGATCTACGCCGTGCTAATGGCCTCCTTGCACGGTATGGTTTTGTGCTTCATGAAGATGGAAGCCCGTCAATATTGTTTTACAACTTACTAATGAAGGTGTTGTGCTACTGTGTTGTAAGACTAAACTGACGAAGTTTAGTTTTTTGTGGTTATTTATTGTTCTGTTTTCGGCTTTTGTAGAATTTAAAGTTACAGATCATATTGTGCTAAGTAAGCACAAAATAGCTAACAAATGTCACTTTTTTTATGGACACTCCAACTTTCAGGGTTATATAAGCTCCGGTTGTCCTCTGGCAGCATTAGGTGTGTACGATGAAATTCAACAGCAGGGAATGATACCTGATAAGCTCACATATAATACTCTGATCTTTGCATGTGTCAAGACTGAAAAATTGGATGCTGCAATGCGTTTTTTTGAGGAAATGAAGGTATCATGCATGCACTTCAACTTCAAGGGCCAGTTTAGAGCCTGATTATTGGCTTAGATGGCATATAAGAACTTCCCAGTTTGCTTAATATATTGCACTTGTGATTGTTGCAGGTCCAAGCTCAGAAAGTTGGGCATGATGATCTTTTCCCAGATGTTGTCACATACACTACATTGCTAAAGGTTACCCGGGCATTGATTTATTTGTATGCGATAGGTCTAAAACTGTGTCAGTCAAACAATTTATGAATGAGTTTCCAAATAGCACTGCTTTCTGTTAGCAAATTAGGATACAGGCAATCAATCTGTATGTTCCCTAGAGTTTCATCTCATATAAATAATACCTCTATGCTTGCTTGCTGTTGAAAAAATTAATGACATAACTTGCATTTCACACAGATTGCTTTTAGTTTGCTGAGTCAACTATTCCCTCCCTTTCATTTTTACTGGCTGTTGTTCTATTAATTACTTCCTAGACTCAGTTTTTCCTTTAAACTGCCGTTTTATATCACTGTTAATTGCAGCTAATTATCCTTCTGTAGGGTTTTGGGGATGCCAAGAATCTTCTTTCAGTTGGGAAGATTGTGTCAGAAATGAAATCATCTTGTGACTTGTCTATTGATCGGATCGCATACACTGCTATTATTGATGCGTTGCTAAATTCTGGTTCAATCAAAGGTATGCCATTTTTGGAATCTATTTCAAGCGCTGCAATAAGTAGAGAATGACATTGATCATTTTGAAGTGTGTTTCAGATCAAAAAGGTTCAACATCTAAAAGATATTATCCAAATTTAGGAAATTCACGTATGAGTGATGAATCAATGTGATTAACAATTTTTTTTCTTTTCCAGGCCCCATTCCAGTTTTCTCTTAGCAAAAACTTGATTCTTCTTCTTCTTTAATCTTTTGCTGTGATTAGGTGCTCTCTGTATGTTTGGGGAGATATTGAAAAAGGCTGGTGGAAATCCTGGCTTGCGGCCGAAGCCTCACCTCTATCTTTCCTTGATGCGTGGCTTGGCTGTTAAGGGAGACTATGGTCTGGTTAAATGTCTGCATGAACGCATGTGGCCGGACTCAGCAGGAACTATTTCCTCCAAAGTTCAAGTTGAAGCTGATCACCTTCTCATGGAGGCAGCTCTAAATCATGGCCAGGTACCTCATCCACAAAAAATGGTCTTGAACACTGGGGTCTCTTCAATAACGATATATATGTCCCTACTCTTCCTTCTAGGGTTTCCTTTTTTTACCTTGCCCAAAGGATGTCTATTGCCACCGCACAAGTTGAAAATTCTGTGAAAACCAAAACTATCCTAGATCAGCCTTGTGTGGGTACTTCCAAAGTCCATCCTAAGAATTTGAAAGGTTTATATTCTTAAATGGAGGAGTAGAATGTTGTTAAGGGTGGATAAAAGTAGTACACAAGTAGAGATGCCAGACAATACACCTTATGAGTCCAAAAGTACTAGATAATATTCATTATGAAAGACCTTTTGTTTTTTTTTAACCCCGGGCTAGTGATGCATGGAGCATCGCCCAATTATGAAAGATCTTGGTCTATAACCTACTGGGATAACTTTTAAACGATTGTAGCATGAGTCGAAAATTTATTTGACCTTTGATTTTCACGATATAGGGATACAACTATTACATATGAAATCTGACCTACTTGCTTGGAAAGGTTGAGCTCTGGTGCCACATATCACTGGTGAGATATTCTCTAGGGGTTGGACTCGATTTTATTGAGTACGATGTCTTGTTGAATGAGTAATCATCGGAAAGGAAATGATAAAAATATTAATAGAACTTTCTCAGCTCTCTGACTAGTGTCAGGTGTAGCATCTGTTTTAATGAGAATTATGTGAAATCTTGAATATGGATCAGGTTAGAGGCTTACGTTTGTCTATTTCTTCAAAAGCCAGGGTGGTCTTTCAATTTCAGGAGCTCACAATGTTAAATTGGTCACTTATCATCTTGCTTGGATTAACTATTCGTTTAGCTAATCAATGGGACCATTAACCTCTAGTAGAAAAGTTATATATTTGAACCTATAATGCTAGTTAATGCAGATCTATAATAAAGTTGATAGCATAGGGCATAATCTCATAGTGGACCATCTCCTTATCACTATTGATGTAAAAATAAGTATGAGAAGAAGACACAGAAGAAGAAAATAACAATAGTTTCGATGAGTTAAAATAGGAAAGAAGAGAAGCAGAAACTACAGGTGAAGATATGAGGTTGGAATAGCTGTAGGTCACATCTTTCGACCTTAATCTTATCTATGGGACACAAATGCACAAACTTTATTTTTGGCCCACATTTTCTTTCTTATAAAGGCTCCCACAGTGCAGTATGGTGACTCTTAGTTTTGCAATGATTTTGGTGTGGGGAATTTGTATTGTCTATTCTTTATGTGGTTATATCTCTATTTAAGCGTTGGTAAACCCCTGAAACTTGTTCTCCCTATCTTCTGTGGTCTGCCAATTATGATCTTTGCTTTCGCTTTGTTTGTGATAAATCCAACTAAGTTGCTAAAATAATCCTTCGGTTTATTCTTTTACTAGGTCAAAAAATCTTCGGCTTCTCTAAATCTTCAACTTTTGTTGAAATTCCATAATTTGTGAAGAATGTAATCTGCCATATTGAGCATGTGTGGATTCAATCTAATTATCATCACAGCTAGCATAGGCTCTCTTTGATTATTCTTCAGATTCTGAGATGCATCCTTAATAGCTTTATCTGAACCTAAATACATGCATAATCCCTTTGCTTTAGACTGAATTCTGCAAATATCAATTATGACTGGGCTTCATGATGTGCTTGTGATCCTCATTTGATGTTAAGAATGGGCTGATTGAGTTTTGCTGGTATCTTGGGCTCTTCCATTTGCATTTTTACTTCTATTTCATTCGATATACAGCAATTAAGATCAATGAGGTCTTCTTTAAAGACAGTTTAATGAAACAATTACAGATCAATTTTGAGTTTGTACCATCCAAAATTATCCTTCCTGTTGAGTCCTTCATTGGCTACTGAGGAATAATCCTAATTTTTGTCAGTTTTATGGATATTCAGAATATTTCTGTTTTCTGATTGGGGAAGTTGTGCCATTTGAAACTCACATTCCAAACACTATCTTTCATTGTGCTTTTGTCATAGGTATCAAATCTACCCTGTGTGGTTATGTAATTAGATAGTCAAGAAACACCTTGAACTAATATATTTGTATGCCCTTCCACAGGGTATTATCTATTATGATATCATTTTTTCCCATTTTAGTGGAACAACGTTGATGATATCTTGCTTCCAGTTTCCACCAACTTTAGATTGTCCTACATGATGATTGGCATATGGAAAATAAAGCTTTTACTTGCAAAACGTTAACTACCATGGCTTGGTTTTTTTCTTTTTGCCAGGTTGATGTGGCTGTACAAAATCTATATCACATTATTAGAAAATGGAAGGGAATATCATGGGCTAGTCGAGGAGGAATGGTATGTGTTCATTTTTGAAATATATGTGGATTTAAGATGATCTAAAACCAAAAAAATAAGTTGATACCAGGTGACCCATGGGAGATATAAAATTTCAGCAATAACTGCTGCTCAGGGGGTTTTTTTTGGGAGGGGGGGGATTGTTTCCAGGAATTTCTTGGTTGTGCTGAGGATAGATTTTCTAATGATTAAGTTTTGAAGTGTTCTTTTACTATAGAATCCATATAAAGATGAGTAGAGGCCTCCCTTGGTGCATTGCTCTAGAAATGAACCTATATTTTTTATTTTTAGTTCCAGAAATCTTCTTTCGTTTCTTTCTAGTCCCTTTATGTGATCCTGGTCGGACATTACACAACCTATCACTCACATTGGCATGCAGGTTGCTGTACGCATTGAGGCATTGCTGGGGCTCACTGCATCCATTTTTGGTCCTTACATGCTTTCTCAGGTGTGTAATTTGTTTATTGTTACAGTTTAGAAAAATGGCATGTCCTTGTGACAGCTAACAAACAGTGTGCCATTATTGTGTGTTAATTGGTAGTTTTCCTATCATGATTGGGCTTCGGGTGGGATGTAACCTGTATCGAAAATCTGACTTGGTTTGATTACCTTATCATCTGATCAAGGATCAAAATGTCGTGTCGACACGTCCGAAACGTCCGAAACGTTTCGGAATTTCAACACTCCGAAACGAAACAGTAGTTGAATCACAAAATTCTAGTGTTTCGGTCGAAACGGTACTGTTTCGGACCGTTTCGATCGAAACGGCATTGTTTCGAACCGTTTCGACAAAACAGTGATATATTCGGTTCATTATGAATAATTACATTTAATACCCCATTATAATTACATTTAATACCCACTGTAATTACATTTAATACTCACTATAATTATATTTAATATCCCACTATAATTACATTTAATTCCCATTGCTCTTCTGTCTTTTATAATTTTTTTGTTATAAGAATAAATAATTACACTTAATACCCTACTATAATTATATTTAATACCCATTATAATTATATTTAATACATACTGTAATTATATTTAATACCTCACTGCTGTGCAAGTTTTTTGCTTTTTTTTTTTTGTTATAAGTATTAACAATTACATTTAATACCCTAATGTAATTATATTTAATACCTACTGTAATTACATTTAATACCCACTGCAATTACATTTAATTTTTAAGTATACATAAGTATCATTAATTTAATTTGATACCCTTCATTATTAGTATTATAATAAAATAGTATTATTAATTGGATTATATTACCGTAATAATATGATTTGGAGTAACTATTGTCATCATATTTATGTCACATATGGAGTTTCTCTAAGTAGCTACCCAGAGCCTACACCGATGTATGAGCCTGCTCGACATTCCACAAGGGAATGGATGTAACCATGTAAGTATGTACTCATTAGCATTTCATGTGTATTATAAGACCTTAATATTATGTAAAAATATGTTTATTTCATAAAAATTAAGTGTTTGAAACTAATTTAAGTGACTTTCGCCTCAAGTCAAGCCTTTTTTTCCCTCAAATTTAAATTTATTCTTGTATAAATTGATGTTAACCTAATAAATATGTTGAATTAATAAATTATTTAGCATATCTTTATAAATTAATGGATTGCATTTGTGTTTCTATGCGTTTCCATATTTTTTCTGCGTTTCCATTGCGTTTCCGAAATGTTTCCGAAACGTTTCTATTTTTGAGTTGACCGAAACGGTACTTCGAAACGAAATTTTGATCCTTGCATCTGATATACCTCTTAGGATGAATTGGTGAAATTGTTTCATGGAATAGAAAATTAGAATCAATCAATGTACATAAAATTTAGTTGTCATAACCAGTTATGTTTAACTCTGGCATAAAACATCTTATTGATTGAGGCAATTGATTAAGTGCTATTGCTTGTTTCCTTTGCATCTGGTCATACTCCTCCTTATCAAGTAATTGAACTATTTGCTTCCAATTTGTTGAATTGTTTGACGACCTTCTAACTAGGTGTCAGTTAGTGCTGCAATTGAGTGCATTATGATACCATTTGAAGAAGCTCAGCCATTACAAGCTACCTGGCACCTGAGGCAAGTGGTGCTGCGTTTCTTCAGAGATTCAGTTGTGCCCATCATAGATGACTGGGGAAGCTGTGTGGGAATACTACATCGGGAAGACTGCAATATGGTACTTTTCTTCTAATCTTCAGTAAGCTGTTCAACTGTCTAAGTTTGACTTCCTTCCATTAATTAAGTTTATTATTGTTCTTCTGACCCACTATTTATGAAGAATAGTTGTTCATAATGTTTTTCCAAACCTGTGGGGAAGATATCTACATAAACATAGTTTTTTTAGCTATTAGATATACTGACAGAATGGCGAGAAGGGGCTAGAGTCATTCTCTGTAGTCGATACTGCCCACACTTTTTTATGTAAAAACATCCTCTCTGGCTTAGCATCCAAGACAATATGCAAGCTACATTTCAACATTTGCCTGACACTTCTTGGACACTCCTACGATTCTTGTAGCATGAAGAGAAGTGAAATTCTTGTAGCGTGAAGATAATTGAAATTCTCTAGTGTAATTGCTATATTTTGAAACGCACAAGTAAGACACAAGAATTCAATTGAAAGGCGTATGGAGAATGATAGGAATCATCAGGATTGTGTATCCTTGCTACATGTCAATTATACGCCATGGTTGGTTGTTAATTGTTATGATTCATAAGTCTCAAAAGTCTTCGTGTTACACAATATATGTAAGATTTCCTTTGCATATTACATTATTTCATTTACATATAGATAAACTGAAGAACAAATAGATGTGTTTATATTTATCTGATGCCGTGTCCTCACATGTTTGCGTCTTTCCTTTTTAGAAATTTTTTTGTCGGCATATCCATTTATATACTTTATGTGCTCAGTACATGTCTGTGCTTCTTAGTTTGCTGCACCAAGAGAGAACTGCCACTTGGGCTCTCCCTTACTGTAATTGTCAAACTAGCTGAAAACTTGTATCCGAATCTGAGACAGATCCAAACTATGCAGGATTACTACTCATCAGTGAAATGATTATTCACCAAATGGCCTTTATTGTGGGTGCACAGACCTTTTCCGTCCTTTACATTTCCATATATAGGAACCATGTCTGTTTGTTTCCTTGATTCAGGTGGTTTTGGGATATGGGGTGAAGATTTTAATGTCGTGGCATGGAAATGAACAAGTTTCATTTTTTACCTTTTTGGATTTTGTTCAAGTTGTAAGTGATGCTTGGAGCTGCCCTGGATACGCTGTCTGTGTTTCTGGGTGGGTGGGGTTCAGACTTTAAGTATCTCTTTTCCAGGACAATTTCCCGGGAAACACAAACTAAGAGCCAATGCACTATAAACGTGAAGAATGAGGTAGCAGAGGACAAACATAGTATTAGGAGTAGTTTAGTCATTTTTTAATATTGTTTTTCTCTACAATAAAGAGTCTCTGTCAGCAGACTGCTGTAGAAACAATAAGATTTCTCTCTTCTTCTCATTCTTGTGTTGTTTTGCAATTGAAGTTTACCCAACAATGTGATTTTTAGTGTGGGGATTGACCAAATCAATGAAGATGGCCAGCCGCAGTACACTATGAGAATAGAGCATAAGATAAAGTCAATAAGGTTCTGACAGACTCTGGACTAGGAGTTAATCCAAACAAGAGAATCCAGTTCTTTCTAGTCTCGCCTAGAACAGCCACATCAAAAGTTTACCTGAAGCTACAAACTAAGTGTTGTTGATGCAGCAAACATGTGAATCTCAGCACCGAAAGATTAGAAGTATTGAACTCTGATATTATATATCTCTCAAGTTTCAATAAGAAAATATTTTATAGTTATGCATTGGGTGGAGATAAGTCTTTCTTTTTTAATTCTTTTCTTTCTTCTGTTCCTGTCTTGTTCAAAATTTTCCTTTTTTTGGGTGGATAGACGTGCTTTTCCACTATTTGTATTTGGATATGAGAATTCCATTGATTTGTCGAGCATAAATCCTGGCTGCTTAATAATCAATAAGCTAATAGAAGGCAATTGGTTGATGTACGATGATGTCTTCTTGCTTTGCTCTCTTTAAATTTATGTATTTGTGCAGTTGGATGCTCCACTTTCAACAATGATGAGAAGCCCACCTCCTTGCGTCACAAGCTTGACATCTATTGGTCGTGTCATTGATTTGATGTTGGAGAAGAGGTACAAGATGGTAATTATTGTAAAATATGATGAGTTTCATGGTATGTCTTACAGCTTTAGTTTAAGGGCCGTTGGTGTTTTTAAATTTGAACAACTCTGTAAGCTTGCTATTCCGGCATCAAAGCTGCAGGGGCAACAACCTTACACCTCTCGAATATGAGAATAGATTCCCTACTTTATTTTCTGCTTCCGTCACTCTCAAGTTTAAATTTTCTTTTCTCTGAAAATTTCAGACCCTTGTTTCACCTATAATTCATTCATAGTATGTGAAGGTGATGGGGAACATAAAGGGGTTCCTAGGAAACCTGGGTTCAAGGTTAGAATTAGGAATTATTTTAGTATTATTACTTAGTTTAAAACTTATTGGGTTTATTTCTTAAATTAGGAATTTAAAATTTTTTTGATGTGGTATTTAAAAATCATGTATACTACTTTCAAGTAGTTTTCATTTTGGTGTTTGTCTATGATTATAGTTGTTGTACAAGAATGATTAGTTCTGGCATTATTGAGTTGAATTTGAAATGGGAAATTCTCGCTTCATCACATTCTTCTATTGATCAGTGTTTTTCCCTTCTTCTTAGATCTCGGTCTGTTGTTTCTCTTTCTCCTTCTCTTCGAATTCCTTCCTCTAAAACTCGCTTATCTATCTGGTCCTGTATCGGAAGGTGATATCATTTTCTAAAGCTACTTAACTTACTTTTTTATTTAGTAAGTTTTAGATATCATTACTTTTTCTAAAGCTTTAGATATCATTTTCTAAAGCTTATTGAGTAAATAAATGGCGTGCTCCGTGGTTTGTGATGCTTACCCATGTATTTTCCGATCAATATTTTGCATAAACTGCTTCATCATTGACGACATAATTTCTGACCAAGATATATTTCAGTACTAACAAATTCATTGATGATTATTTTTTGATTAAAAAGGGGATGTTAAGGTTGCAAGATATAAAAGAAAAAAAAGATTTTGCTTTCCAGCGCTAACCACTCTGTCTGTCCTCTGTCCTTTTAGTAAAATTAATCTACATCCTTTGGACTCTCATGTGCTCGGTTGAAATAGAATTAGATCTGAGATGGAGCATGAAGAATGTTCTGGTACACTTTCAGAAGTTACAGTTCCTTCGAAAGTAGCTTGAGTTCCTTTGAGACCTAACTACATATCTTCTTGCCTTGGTGCAGCCATAAAGACTAGCATTTGAAGGTTAGTGTTTGTGTGCTTAGACTATCAATGGTGTGTGCTTGATGTATCATGTTATACATTGAATAGTTATATACTAGTCAGATGATCAGCCCAGCCGCTAGAATCTAGAGCCATGCATTGAAGGCAGCAGCCATAAGACCAGGGTGGGTTCATCGGTACTCTCGTGCAACTTAACAATGACATTATCGAATCGTCCTATCTGTTTGTGATTAAGGATCCAAACTTTGTTTTGCTTTCATCGAAATAAAATAGTGATGGAAAATCGAAATTTCTATGTTTGTTCCTAGATGTTTCGGAGAATTTTGTCAATTATTTGGAAATCAACACTTCGATTTTTTCCCTTTTCATTATGTTTCCAAAACATCTAATTGTTTTTGTTTCCGAGCTAGCTGAAATAATGCACAGAAACGATATTTTGATCCTTGTTTCCTATCTTGTAGCGTGGTGGCAAGTGCCATATTTTGCATTTTGATGTTTCTGGTTTTTATTGCTTGGTATATATGTATTTTTTATCTTGCAGCATGATGGCCTGTGTCAATAATGCCATTATTTCTGAAATATGTGTTCTCGGGCTTTCCTCAAATAGCAGACACAAGTCTTTATTAAGTTGCTGATTTGAGATTTTATTTGTGGGTTTTGTAAAAACCGATACAGCCGGAGGTGGGGGCTAGTCGGACAGGCAGGCAGCACAAGGTTCACAAGTTGATAAAGTCATTTTTCTGTAGGGGTCTAGTTGTAATAATGATACTACCTCATCAAACCCATGTTAAAGGATATATCTTCCAACACTTGTGTAGTTTTTTGTGTTATAATTGATGATGACACTACAACGGAATGCCAAAACAAACCCCATTTTCATTCATTATTCTAATGCCAATGTCATACTTGTAGGGTGTTTTGGTCTTCTTCACACTTATAGGTCTTCTATATAATGAGGGTGGTTTGTTGATAAAAATCTACTTCTTATTGGTGTAGAACGAAACTGCATCGCCAAAACTAAAAATCTGAAATGCTTTCAAGTCAAATAGAAACACTTTCCTAAAACTAATATTTACCCCCATCCAATTGAATAAGGTTTGATTGGGAATTCCGTCTTCAAAATACAATGAAATCTTTAACTTGTTTGCATATTGCATTGACGAAAACAATTTTGAATACCAAGGGCAGAGTTAGGAATTTATGTGGGTGGACACTAATTATAAGTTTTTAATTTTTTATTTCTTACTGATTAAAGTAAATGACACATAAATTTGATAAATCTTATATAATATTTGAAATTTCATGAACAAAAAATAGTGAAAAGCCGATGGGGTATAGAAACAAAAAAAAAAAAAAAAATCTACAAACAGGGTACTAATTCAACTCCTTTACAACGATATGAGATTGAGTATAGCTATTTACAATTGAACTTGACGAGTTGTGATATTTTACAAGCATTGTATGATAAATTCATTATCAATACAATTAAAAATGTCCTTGTCTATGTACACAATCAAACTGTCTATCATTCATTAATCACTCATTTGAGTATATAATCGATTTTTCACAATCTTCAAAGCTGGAAATTTTCTCTCCTGTGGCAGTCGCAAGATCAATGCCAAAGTGACATGTAGACCAGTGGATAAATCACGTTTTTTTTTGTCTAAACTATTTTTTGAGCAAGATATTCAATCCTTAACAAATTTGAAAACTCAATACTAGAATGTATATCAATAACATATTACAAAACTATCTAATTGATTAAAAAGGATTATGAGCTCTAATGGTGAAAATTCTTTTGGATAAAATTGAGTAAGACTCACCAATTTCTTATTGTCAAAAGTAGGAATGAATCAAAAAGACTCAAACATGCCACACAAAGAAGCAACTTAGTGTTTGACTCGGTAAAGTGGTTTTTTAGCTCTTGAAGTGGCACATTTGTGACGGCATAAATTAACTCGACTCGATAATGTTGCAAATTTGTTGCTTCTTGAGTACGCCTTAACCTCCCTCAAGATTTAAAGATATTATTTATATTTGAAACAACTATCTCGGGTTTTCACAAAAAAATAGAGACATCATCAAGAAAATAGCTCCAACCATTTTCTCTCATCATTTGAAGTTGTTGCTTGGATCCTTGAACTAATCTGACTGCTCATTTGATCTCGATCATGAGAATTATAATCCATAATTTGATGTCATAGTCCAAGATCCAATAAAAGATTCGCCAAATTAATATCTACATCACTTATCTTCAAAGAATAATCATCTCTTTTGACAAGAAGTGACAACTCAGATTCGAATTTTCTTTAAAAGTACTTCTCCACGACTGTTTGATAAACTTATTAAAGAAAATGAGTTTATATGAACACTTTTTCAAAAAAAAAAAAAAAAAGGCAAACAATTTCAAAGAATTATAGATGGTTTTGCATTGAGAGTTATCGAAAAAATATTTATTATTGTCGGCTTAATAGCTTAAGGGCGTAACTCGTAACTTGTAAGTCCGCCCACCATTAATCATATTGGTGTCTTCGGGTCATCCCAACTACATCACATTGCAAATGCTGACTATCACAAATTAGGAAAGTAATTAGGATTAAAATGTACAAAAAATAAAATTAAGACAAAATGCACAAAAAAGTCCAATTAGGATTAAATGCACAAAAAATAAAAAAAAATTATTAAATCCCAACTGAGTGATGTGTTGTGCAATTGGGTCCTGAGTGTGTGGGAATGGGCGTGTGGGTGTTTGTGTTGTGTCTTGTGTGCATGGGTGTGTGCGCTGTGTTTTGTGTGAGTGCGTCATGGCTGGGTGCCTAGTTGAGAGAGAGAGAAAGATGATTACCTGGGGGTATTGGTGATGGGGTTCCATGGGCCATGGCAGAAAAGAGGTAGAGAGGAATACAAAATGGTCTACAGCATTGAAAGAGAGAGAGAAAATGAGAGGAAGGGTTGAAATGGGTATGCTTATTCTGGTGCTAGACCTTAAACTCTTGTTGGAACTTTGTCTACTGTGCATTTCAATGTCCTTATGACCTCTTTCAATTCTATTCTTTCATAGGTAAATCTCACAAAAGATCCTACCCCATAAAGAATCTGCCGCCTAAGATAATTTAGATTTCATAGGCAATTTGATCTTCCATCAGAGTCGAAATCTGTCGCCAAAGAATCTAGAGACAATTTTGATCCCGAAATGAAAGGGAAATTTCAGAGGTGAGGGAGGCGAAGAGACATTGAGAGAGAAAGAAGAGTGATTGATGGAAAAGATCTTATTGACAGATCTTCATTGAGCGTTAATAAAGGGTAACTGATTTTCAGTTTGAAAATTGTTTTGAATATTAAAATAAGGACATTTTAGTATTAAAAAAATTGTAAACTTAACTACTTATTAGTAATATTAAATAAGGTTTTCTTGATGGACTAAACTCATTAAAAGCCTATTATCGAGTACTAAATCCTAATTTTCACCCAAAAAAAAAACACCATTGGTAGTAGTCTTGCCATGAGGCATAGTCCACGCACATACTTGCATTTTCAAAAGCATTTTAACTTTCTAAATCTTCAAAGATAGATAAAAAATTAGGAGAGAAGTATCATCAATCAAGGAATCAAAAAAGGATTTACAAAAGAACAAACCCGTCGAGTCAAAGACCCAACTTCTTTTATTCAAAGAATCAGGATGTAAAGTTATACCATCAAGCAAAGAAATAAGTGAGCCCAATTTCACAATTTCCCTCTCACTACGACACGAAACCCAAAATCCCAAGACACTGGATAAACATAACAACTAACCATTAAAGCAATGCAAACATCATGGAAGTGTGAAAGATTATAGAGACGAGAATATGAGAATGCTAAGGATGAATCCCCACTTGAAACGTCCTCCCAAAAACGGACTCTCTTCTCACTACCCATAACAACTTTTAAGAAAAAGATTGTAATCCTTGAGAAATGAACTTCCATGAATTTCGAAAACTACCC